AAATAAAACTCAAAAAACAAATTCTGTACAATTCAGTACTTTACATAACTTCAACCTTTAAATGTGCACTAATCATCTCCAAGGCATTGAAAATTAATTTTAGTAAGTGTTAGGTAGTTGAGGACAATTAGATGACGGTGACAATTATGATTAGACTAGGAAAATAATGGAATTTATGGGATTCTTTTGGGTTACAACCGATAACTTGGAAGTAATAACATTATCTGAACTATTTTTGCAGTGATGTTTATAGTAAGGAGTCGAGTGTGTTATGATTATCGAATTGAGGATCGTGTTTAATATTAGACTGTAATATAGATTATCTTCTGACATTAGGTGAAAAGGGGACTTAACCTGCATCTTGTGGAAAGATCACACACAAAGGCAAAGAGGTAAGTAAAAATTCATGTACAACTACAATGCAGAAACATAGTATTTGTGAAATACTATCTATAGAGTATTGTTGTCACATTTATATGAACTTGATAAGGAGATCGTGACATACCATGTGATGGTTATCATGATTGAGCATGTGGCTCCGAAAATATATTGATTGAGCATGTCATTCATGAGTATTTGTACATTCATGTATGACATATGCCTATAGGGCATTAGTTTATATAATTCTTGCATTGTAGGTGAGTATGAAACTTCATAGAAGACATGGCTAGCTATGAAGTTCTTACAGGATTTCAAAGTTTGATGTACATGGATGACGACCTGTAGGATTATCTTATGTGCTGTTATTTTGGCATTATAATCTGTTGTATTATATTTGGTGAATCTTGTGTTGTATATATGACTTTTGAAATGACATAGTAGATACTTTTGGAATCCTCAAAATAAATATGTTGAATTTGGTTATACAGTATTTTGTCATAACATACCATATATACATCATAGATGACCAGGCGAGAATATATAGGGACCTTATTGTGAAAATGCTTATTTCATTTTATTAGGTAAAAAAATGTGTGAAATACTGTGTTTAGGTTAAGTCATCAATTTTCATTTCTACACAGGTTAATGTATGGTTATCTATATTAAGGGAATGTGACTAAAGGCTTCAAAGAAAAATTTCAAATTTTAAAAAATTTATGCATTGATTAGTGTGATGTCCTTTATCAAACACCTATACAAGAAAACCAATCTCCAACTTAAAACCTTCGCCTAATTTTATCCCGTTAATTTAAGATAATCTGCATATGATTTTTTACACAAGGAATCCCATTCATATCTGTATCTTCCTACAGCAACAATATCAAGTTCTACAAGATTAACATCAATCAATTTAAGCTTAGCCTATCCATAGTTCATAAATCAACACCAAATCTCAAATTAAATTTCATTGTCGACTAGGCTATCTAACTCACATAATCACACAACCTAATAAAAGAATATATTATTGAAATTCTTCAAGTTTTGTCTTGTATACTAAAGCAATACTAAAAAAATACTAAAACACACAAACATACAAAAAACAAAAAATCAATGTTTTCTCACCCCAAACTTAAAACTGACATTGTTCTCAATGTTATAAAGCATAAGTAAAAATATAAGGGGATGATAAAGAAAATGGAGAAGGTACTCTCCAAATTTTTAAGTTGAATGTGTGATGAGCTATTTGTCAATTTATCCTAACTTGTACTTTGCTAAACCCCTTCTCATGTCAAAATCAAGAAACTTATCAAGAGGGAAAGAAAAATAATCAAAAGAAGCAAAAATAGGAGAAAACATAATATTTTAAAAAAAATTACCTTCGGTTCAGATTGTGGCCCCATAGAAGAAATGGGTGTGATCGCATAGAAGAAATGAATTTTGGGTTTTGAATTCCTAGGATGTACTCATACGACTATTTATGGTTTTGAATCATGAGGTCGCATAAAGTACTTCCAAACCTGATTTTCTCCTTTTTATGCCTAAACTCCAATTTCATGTTACATGCAAAATTTGACTCCTTTAGACTTAATGAGTGTTTTCTCTTACTTACGCTAAGTGTCAATCATGAAGATGACCCCAAAACTGAATTGAAATGTGCCTAAATCTAATATAAACTAATAATCAAAACAAATATGTACATAACACAGTACAGAAATGCAGAATATATAAAAAGAGAAATGGTCGGGTTGTCTCCCACTATGGGCCTTAGTTTATAGTTTTTAGCTAGACTGTTTAGAGAAATTGATCATGGTGGTTGAAATAGGTATCTTGAGCTCTTGCACTCATTGCAATTTTAAGCCTTACATCCTTTTTTTACCCTCCAAATTTTGAACTTTCAATTCTCCTCTCGTCCAAGGCTTCATAGATTTCTAGACTTTGTCTCGTTTGAGCATTGTTACACCTTTTCAGAAATATACTCACATTCCTCTTTAACCTTTACCTAGTCTCTTCATGTAACAAGTTCTTGATAATAGTGTAGATCTTGAACTTTTCTTACTTATCATCCACTCTCAATGTTAGTTCGTCACTTTCAAAGTCCATGATAGATCGGCTTGTTGATATGAAGGATCTACGCAAGATAAGTAATGTTGCGTTCCATAGCTCCTCTATATCTAGGATAATGAAATCAATTGGGAATATGAACTTGCCTAAGATAATACCACTTGCTCTCAAGGTTGGTGAAAGTAGGGTCTTGCACATGCGTCATGAATTGCCAGCACGAGCTTGCCAAAGACATTTGTTCATCCCTGGACATCATTTAAAATTTTGGTTATAACTTTATCTCTCGACATCTAATTGAGGTGATTCAATGTACATTAGAAAGAAAACTTAAAGGGCTACAATTCTTCTAGAATCAACCTCTTTGGCAAACAAGCAAGGAATTGATCTGTTGATCTACGACAACCATTGCACTAATGTTGTTTTGCTCCGTACCGTCTATCCACATTAGTCACATTTCTCCAATTCGAATATTTTATACTCAAAAAATGAATCTCAAGTTGAAACTAAAAATTTGGAGTACAACTTTTTTGACTACAAATTGATTTGTGATAATAATTCGACTATATTTCATTCCTTTGACGTCAAATTGCATCAAATTGATCATATGTGATCTTTAATTATCATTTTATGGTTCGAATCAACTATTGCATGTATACACTTTAGTTTCCATACTTTTGATTTCACTATTTTCCTTGATTTTTTCCCTTGTTTCTTTTAATTCTTCATTCAACCATTGAGTTTTACCTATATAAAATAATTACAACAGTTTAGGATATGCTTTGTCGAAAGAACTATCACTATTTTAGACTTTGAATAAGTGTATAAAATACACTTATCAGTGGTCATCGTTTATTGTTTTAGTGAGCTTTTTAGTTTTAGTTTAACAATCATCATTCAACTTGAATTTTTAATTTGTTAGAAGAAAAGTTGAGATTAAGCTCTATCAATAATTAATGGGACCGACACTTACATGTGCAAGACAAGATCTAATAGATCCACCAAGTGAAGACCATTCAACTAGAAATTATTACACATGCAAAAGGATTTGCCAATTACTGCGCATTGTATGGTCTGAATCTCACACTTATTGCACCTTGAAAAGCTGCTTTATATGAACCACTTATAGTTTATTTGAATGCACTTTCTGCCCTTGTTTGAGTCCCATTTTTTTACCAAAATACATTTTTTAACAATGATTTGACACTATTTCAATCACACATTCTTTAATAAAATAATATTACACGCAAATCAAAACTTTTCTTTGTTTATTAACCACACACTTTTCATCAATACATTATTCAAAAATTTATTTTCTCCCCCAAAATGGGGCTCAAACAAGGGCTTTATCCTTTGTTTTGGACACACACACACACACACACACACACACACACAATTTGAATGAAGTTCAAATGTAAGCAGTGACAACTGTATCCTTTGCGCAAGAACTTGAATTAGGCTTGTCTGATGATTTTTTTTTTTAATTATGTATATTTTTTATCATTTTTAATCACACATTCTACGTAAACCCACAAATTTTCCTTCTAACTGTACAATTTATTAACCACACATTTTTCATCAATACATTATTCAAAATTTATTTTCTCCCCCAAAATGGGGCTCAAACAAGGGCTTTATCCTTTGTTTTGGACAAACACACACACACACACAATTTGAATGAAGTTCAAATGTAAGCAGTGACAACTGTATCCTTTGCGCAAGAACTTGAATTAGGCTTGTCTGATGATTTTTTTTTTTTAATTATGTATATTTTTTATCATTTTTAATCACACATTCTACGTAAACCCACAAATTTTCCTTCTAACTGTACATTCTCGTAATAAATTATTTTTTCTTAAAAGATTTGTCAAACAAGCTCTTATATTCCCTTGTAAAGTTTAAGAATATTAGTTTACAATAAAATGTAACTTTAAATGTAACTTGCGAAGGATTCCCAGCAATTGATTTATGACAAGTTCCATCAATAAATAACATGTGATATGCATAAAATAGTCAACAATTTTGTGCCACATTTGTTTATCACACCAATCCAGCTATTATATATATAAGGTCACAATGAAAGTGTAAAATTTTAAAGTCTAACAAAGCTTTAATATTCTCTTATTTTTGTGTGAGCACAATTTGCTGTAACACTGTCAAACTTTATTTTTTGCTTGTCTTTTGCATATCTTGATCACCTTGTACCTTGTTTGAACTAATGAATTTGCTTTTCTTGTAAAATCGGTCTAAATTTTCTCAAGAAGATAATCATGAATTCATATTTTCGAGATTTTCAAGATATCAATTATATATGGCATGTTTGCAGCAGATATGATGAATGCCCATTTTTGAGAACCTACCATAAGCATGAGAAAGTAAAAGTGCTTGAGTTTTATAATGTTGTCTTTGTATTGGTCTTTTACACATGACGCTTGACATCCAAACCAGCATTTTAAACCTGTGCAAGAATCTGTATATTCTTTCTTATCTAATGATTTCAAATGCAGTGATCAAGTGTTAGCTGTTAAATCGATAATGAATATATGTGGCAACCAGTTGAGTAAGATTATTTTTTACACTAGACTTGGATAAAAATCGAGTCTCATAACTTGTATATAACAGCTACAAACTTGAGAAATCCAGGAACAATTTGAAGGTCAGAGTAAACACTTACGAGGAAAATGAGCAACTCTTATTCTTGAGTTTTGCAGAAAACTAGGCAGGAAATTAACTTCCACGAGATTAGCGGGATAAGACATTGCATTACTACATTGAAAGCTACAAGAATTTCATGATTCACCGTGGTCCTGATAGAGTTGAAGGGAGCAATGGAGTTGCATCTCGAGAATCAACTTCTGGGATTCTGTTTGTTGCAATCTCTGGGCTCACGAAGTTATAGTCTAAATCTTTCTCAACATCTTTAACACCCTCCAAGACCTTGATCACCGTTGACATTGAAGGTCTGTTGGCATAATAACCTTGTAAACACCAAACAGCAACCTGCATCATCTCCACAACTTCTCCTCCATGAGACTGCATATCTTCGGAGTGTTTGTCAATCAAATCTAACCATTGTCCATTCTGTGCTTTTGTCTTGAAAAGACTCAGTAAATGTCTTTCCTCCTCAGGCTCGGATTTTTCAAAATTTCTCCTACCACACAAAATTTCGAGGATCACAATACCAAAGCTATAAACGTCTACTTTCTCTGTTATGACTGAACTTAGCCATTCAGGAGCAAGATAGCCGGGAGTACCTCTCATGTTGGTCACAACTTGGCTTTGGTTCCTATCTATCAGTTTAGAAAGTCCAAAATCAGACAATTTAGCATTAAAATTCTCATCAAGAAGAATGTTCTGGGGCTTGATATCCAAATGAACAATTTTTTGCCTGCACTCTTCATGGAGGTAGGATAATCCCCTTGCTATGTCAAGAATGATCTTTTTTCTGCGTTTCCAATCAAGAGGAGTTGCAGTGGTTCTTCCGTATATCCATTTATCTAGCGATCCATTCTTCATATACTCATAAACTAAATGCCTATGAGATTTATCAGCACAGAATCCAATTAGCCTAACCAAGTTGACGTGGTGAATGCTACCAATAGTTTCAACCTCAGCTAGAAAGGATTTTTTAACTTGCCCCATTTCATCAAGACATTTAACTGCGATTTCAGTGCCATCCTTTAGAGTTCCCTGAAATACTGAACCAAATCCTCCCTCACCAAGCTTTTTATTGAAGTTCTCTGTGGCATTTTTTAAGTCTTCAAATGAAAATCTGGTTGGCATTCCAGGTAGTTGATCTAAAAAGTCCTCCTCTATTTCTTCCCTTAGATTTTTTCTTTTCTTCCAGATAATGAAAACTAAAATTCCAATTGCAACAGTTGCCAATAAAATTCCTATACCGGATCCTAATATAGCGCCAAGAGGACTCTTCTTTCCCTTGGTAGCAGAGGCAGGAGACAAATCTACTGAAGGCGGTATTGCACTCGGAGGAACCTGCACTTTGATAGATATAGTGGAATTGTAATGGCTCTTGTCCTTCTCATTGTTCATCAGTGAAAATATCTGAGATGGTAAATAGCAGTCCCCATCAAAAGAGTTTGAGCCATAACGAAAAATCGCAGCTTTACAGGAACAGTTTTTTAAACATGCTTCTTTACAACGATTAATGTTTGTACTACTAATGTCTGCAGTGAAGGTGAAATAAGTGGCTTCATCAAGATCTAAAAACTTGTGAAATTTTGAAGCATCACAAGTAAGAGGGATGACTTGAGAACAACCAAGATTAGGTTGCCTACCATCAATCAGCTTAAAATAGTTTGCTGAATCCGTGGTCGATGTGGGACAACTACACTGCCCATTTGAGCAAATTCCATTTTCTCCACAAACCATTGGGTAGTTACATTCACCAAGATAACCTGTAGTAATGTCAGCCACCTCCTTCCATCCTGTCAGCCATTCAAAAATTTTAAGATGCCCATCATAATCCAATTTAATGTACTGGGCTGAACTGGCTGGAGGAATGTCAATCTTGGCCAAGGGACTGGTCTCTGTAGAGTTCGTATATAAATCCAGACTTCCATTTATAAACATAGCATAACTTAGTTTAACATTAGTAATCCCATATTCAAAATAGACTTGAGGAGGATTAGATCTTATAGATGCAATTAAACCCTGATTAGTCATGGACAAATAAATACCTCCTTGAGTCCAATTAGATGATGAAACACTAGCTGTTAAATTCTGCCCTGATTTCAATCTCTGTCCTGGAACCAAACAATCAGTATGATGATCAAACGACTGCCAAACCACAGATTCATTTTCATCGAATAGAATAAGGTTTCCCATTTCGGTCAAATTTAAGCCAGCGACAGACCTCCTTGCAGTGTTTGTAGACCATGCCAAAGTGCCATCAACATCTTTCAAGACCAAATCGCCATTATATGTGAGCTGCAGAGTTGAATTGATTCGAACTGGATTGTTTGGATTAGCAGACCAGACAACCTGCGGGAATCCTATGCTGGGAGAAGTAATACCTCCACCACTGTTCGTTTGAACAATAAAAATGGCAAAGAGATAAGTTTCACAATTCCCTTTGCAGTAGAACCCACAGGCATATCTTGGACCAAACGTTCCCCTCAGAAGGATGGCCCTTATTGTTGAGCCATCTGTAAAATCTATAGAATGATTTGCAGAGACGCTGTTGATCCATGAAGTTGAAAGTGTTGCTGTTGGATAATCAAAAGGCTGGGAAGTTGTGAAGATTGGAGAACTGCTAAGAACATAGGTGAAGAGAAAAATTTGAAAGAAAGTCATGGTTTGAAGAAAATTTTGATTAGTTCACATGAATTATCACTCTGCTAACTAGAAGGAAGCATTCCACAAAGTAAATCTTTCATGACACTGCAGATTTTGTTCAGAGTTGACTTGGAATTGGATATCCGCATGACATTTTACTAGTTATTTGTAAAGGAAAATTCTATTTGTATATCAGCCATGGCATATTTTGTTACAGCATTGGAACGTGGCAATATTTTGAATGCAAAAAAACTGGTAAATGGTCAGACCCATTATCTTTCTCTCCCATCATTTATTATCCATCCAACCAATCATAATAGCTGTCACTACCATCTCTCTTATTTCCCAACCACTCTTATTTATCTCACTACGGTCTCTCTCAGTTTCTGGTGCTGCCATCTGAAATTCTCCAGACCGTCGGTGCTGTCGTCTCTACAAACCGTCGGTGTTGCCGTCTGAAATTATCCAAACCGCCGGTGCTACCATCTAAAATTCTCTAAATCCACGGTATGGGTATTTGGAATTTCTCCAAATCTACGGTGCGGGTCTCTGGTCATGTTAACCTCTTAAACATAGCTTAAGGAAACATCCTATTAGTAATTTACCTAATTCGTAAAATGTGTAGATATTGACCTGTGTATGCATTAAATCAACGTATCTATCTTTCGTCTTTGGAGTGTTTTATATTCTACTATTGTCAAGATTTCAACTGCTACCATCTAAAATTCTCTAAATCCACGGTATGGGTATTTGGAATTTCTCCAAATCTACGGTGCGGGTCTCTGGTCATGTTAACCTCTTAAACATAGCTTAAGGAAACATCCTATTAGTAATTTACCTAATTCGTAAAATGTGTAGATATTGACCTGTGTATGCATTAAATCAACGTATCTATCTTTCGTCTTTGGAGTGTTTTATATTCTACTATTGTCAAGATTTCAATTTTTCTCCATCTTCCGTGTGCACATTTTCTTGTTCAATTGCACTTACTCTCTATTTTATGGAGTTCGAATCTGACTTTGGGCCTGTTGAATTGCACTGTATGCTAAAGTTTGCTCCAGGGCAGGAAGGAACAGAGGTATATGCCATAGTTGCAAACAGCCGAATCGCTCGTTGGAATGTTCCAGAAAGAGAAGATGCCCAAAATGTAGTGAGGGGTTTGTGAAGTGGATGGAGGTGGAAAAAAATAGTGCAAACAAAGGACTGATGATCCATTGTTGTACTTGTTACTATAGGCATTTTAAGTGGTGTGATGTTTCGCCATATGACAACGAGTTAGTGCATTACGAAGGTGAATTAAGTTCAACGATCCAACTATTGACATGTCAATTGTGTTCCAAAAATGTGCTAATATAGCCGACGAAAATTACTATTTGGAGATTTTCCTCAACATAACTCAAGGAAAACGAGATCTGGATGACGAGGAGAAAGCGAAAAAAAGGGTGTAAATTAAATCGTGTATTGTTGATATAATGTGACGATATTACATTAGATGTGGTGTTGAATTTGGATGTAATCGAATTGTCGTAACGTTTGTTGTCTCGTAGTCTGTATTCACTTGTTTAATTAGGGGAAAAAAACTATGTACTCAAGGAAGCTTACTATTTTTGCGCAATTTTTATCGAATGAATTGTGATTGTTCTGTGTTTGCGGCATTCCCTATCTAGAACAGAACCAGTTACTAAATTAGTTGATTTTGTGGGTATATATAGAGGGTGCATTATGTTTTATTTTTGGTGAATGGAATGAGAACATACAGGTAGGTATTCGGGTTTTATCTAGCAAAAATTATGTTGCTAAGGATACTAATTTTGGTATTGGGGCTCGGGCTGCAATGCTATCTGGTGTTAATGAACTTGCCGAAGCTGTAAGGGTGACAATGGGACCAAAGATAACTAGGCGTTTACAACCCTCCTTTCTCTTTACTTCTATTAACATTATAATGCACGAACAAACTCTAACTTGAAGAGTGTAAGAAAAATATGCCAGAAAATATTAGTGAACATTAACTTCAAATATTTTTGGCTATTTTGATACTTGTAGTTGTGTGTGGGTACCCCAATTAAATGGTGGGTGCTGGTTATATATAATTAGGTAAATATATTTTAAGTTCTAAAATTCTTTTGAGTCTCCAAGTGAATTGTTCCGGATTTGTAGTGACTGCTATTTTATGATGCTTGTTCACGATTTTTGTAACGACATCTTAACAAAGGGCTTGAGGCTAAGTGGCTCTTCTTCTTCACAATTGTTGCAAGGGCACAATGTCATTATTGAGCAAAGCCATGGAAATCCCAAGGTCACCAAGGATGGTGTCACAGTAGCCAAAAGCATCAATTTTATGGATAAGGCAAAAAATATTGGTGCAGATCTTGTGAAACAAGTTGCTAGCGCAACTAGTAAGGTTACTGACGATGGTAATCTATTTGCTTAAGCCTTCATTTCTATATTTACAAATCACAGTTCCATAAAGATTGGCTTTTGCATAAGAATATGAAGATACCAACCAAAATCAATATTTCTTGTCCAGTACATCTACTTGCATTTATTGAATGTGCCCAAACCAAATTATATGAAAACATATTTTCAAACTAGCAACATATTTGTTGCTCTATGAAATGAAGCTTCAAACCATATCACCTCAATGATAAACCATCTTCAAACATAAGACTTCAAGAGAGAAATGAACTAAAGATAAATTCATTACTGCAAATAATAACATATTTCAATAAAGTTGACAAAAAGCATCCAACATGCTACAATTACAAACCACATTTCCAGCATACCATTTACTCGCACAACCACATTTACAATACTTTTCTCCATCTTCCGTGTGCACATTTTCTTGTTCAATTGCACTTACTCTCTATTTTATGGAGTTCGAATCTGACTTTGGGCCTGTTGAATTGCACTGTATGCTAAAGTTTGCTCCAGGGCAGGAAGGAACAGAGGTATATGCCATAGTTGCAAACAGCCGAATCGCTCGTTGGAATGTTCCAGAAAGAGAAGATGCCCAAAATGTAGTGAGGGGTTTGTGAAGTGGATGGAGGTGGAAAAAAATAGTGCAAACAAAGGACTGATGATCCATTGTTGTACTTGTTACTATAGGCATTTTAAGTGGTGTGATGTTTCGCCATATGACAACGAGTTAGTGCATTACGAAGGTGAATTAAGTTCAACGATCCAACTATTGACATGTCAATTGTGTTCCAAAAATGTGCTAATATAGCCGACGAAAATTACTATTTGGAGATTTTCCTCAACATAACTCAAGGAAAACGAGATCTGGATGACGAGGAGAAAGCGAAAAAAAGGGTGTAAATTAAATCGTGTATTGTTGATATAATGTGATGATATTACATTAGATGTGGTGTTGAATTTGGATGTAATCGAATTGTCGTAACGTTTGTTGTCTCGTAGTCTGTATTCACTTGTTTAATTAGGGGAAAAAAACTATGTACTCAAGGAAGCTTACTATTTTTGCGCAATTTTTATCGAATGAATTGTGATTGTTCTGTGTTTGCGGCATTCCCTATCTAGAACAGAACCAGTTACTAAATTAGTTGATTTTGTGGGTATATATAGAGGGTGCATTATGTTTTATTTTTGGTGAATGGAATGAGAACATACAGGTAGGTATTCGGGTTTTATCTAGCAAAAATTATGTTGCTAAGGATACTAATTTTGGTATTGGGGCTCGGGCTGCAATGCTATCTGGTGTTAATGAACTTGCCGAAGCTGTAAGGGTGACAATGGGACCAAAGGTAACTAGGCGTTTACAACCCTCCTTTCTCTTTACTTCTATTAACATTATAATGCACGAACAAACTCTAACTTGAAGAGTGTAAGAAAAATATGCCAGAAAATATTAGTGAACATTAACTTCAAATATTTTTGGCTATTTTGATACTTGTAGTTGTGTGTGGGTACCCCAATTAAATGGTGGGTGCTGGTTATATATAATTAGGTAAATATATTTTAAGTTCTAAAATTCTTTTGAGTCTCCAAGTGAATTGTTCCGGATTTGTAGTGACTGCTATTTTATGATGCTTGTTCACGATTTTTGTAACGACATCTTAACAAAGGGCTTGAGGCTAAGTGGCTCTTCTTCTTCACAATTGTTGCAAGGGCACAATGTCATTATTGAGCAAAGCCATGGAAATCCCAAGGTCACCAAGGATGGTGTCACAGTAGCCAAAAGCATCAATTTTATGGATAAGGCAAAAAATATTGGTGCAGATCTTGTGAAACAAGTTGCTAGCGCAACTAGTAAGGTTACTGACGATGGTAATCTATTTGCTTAAGCCTTCATTTCTATATTTACAAATCACAGTTCCATAAAGATTGGCTTTTGCATAAGAATATGAAGATACCAACCAAAATCAATATTTCTTGTCCAGTACATCTACTTGCATTTATTGAATGTGCCCAAACCAAATTATATGAAAACATATTTTCAAACTAGCAACATATTTGTTGCTCTATGAAATGAAGCTTCAAACCATATCACCTCAATGATAAACCATCTTCAAACATAAGACTTCAAGAGAGAAATGAACTAAAGATAAATTCATTACTGCAAATAATAACATATTTCAATAAAGTTGACAAAAAGCATCCAACATGCTACAATTACAAACCACATTTCCAGCATACCATTTACTCGCACAACCACATTTACAATAAACCAAAGTGGTAATGATTTCAAACCAATCAACATAAGAACCGTAGCTTGCATGTCAATGATTGCTGACAATGCTCTTGTGTGCCGAGATGTTGACGAGTCAGACAGAAATGTTGTGGTGGTTGTTTGAACTTCCTGCAAAAAATAAAATGATAATACTGCATAAAGTGGCCCACATATGAAATCAACAAAATATGTTGTTGTGTCAAAATAAAGCATGTCACCTTGAAATTGACTGACGATGAATCATTATCAACATGCCTTCTTGAGGTGTTTGAGTTGGTTGGCACCGGTATAGAGGTTTTTGATTTTTTGGAACTACTTTCGAGGTTTCCTTTTCATTGGAGTTTTTTGGAAGCTTCTTTGCATTTAGAATATTTTGGGTCCAAGATGTCTCCGCTAACTAGCTTATCTGCTTCGAGGCATTGAGATCCCACATTACTAGATTTTAACATGGATGACTCCATTGTTAGGAATTCAATCTAATCCATTTCACCGTTGTTCGTCATGGGCTACCAGGTCAGCTAACTTTGTACAGGCAGTGCACATTTGCTCATATCTAACTTGGTCAGGAGTGTGAATCCAACTATCATAATTGATTAGAACTCTCATGTACGGTCTGTTGACATCTCTCTTCCACCTCATCAATATATACTTATCTCAAAATGTTTGTACTTGATTTTAGAGGAAAACTGTGATTGTGTGCTTGCAAACGATTCCTCTAAACTTGAATAAATGACAACTGCAATAGAATTCACAATCCTCCCTACGGAACGAGACTTTAAATATTTTTGGGACCATAAATTCATTCCAGATGATGTCCTTACACCCTTCGTAAATAATATGTAAGTATAAACCATGGGCATATAGGACTTCACAATATACCTTTCCAGTAAACTGTTCCTAGAACTCCCTAAATTTACGATTGTGTATAGCGATTGGAATTGCTTCTCCGTTGCATACGTTGTCGCACATGGAACCATTTGTGATAATGATGATTTGAAATCAACTTGAAATTCCTTCTCCACTTTACTTCTCAATGCATGCTTGTACTGCTCTATAAACTGGTTAAGGCATGTTTTAGAATGAACATAACCATAAAAAAATGCATTAATGCTATCACTTCGTCGAGTTTTTGACATTCCCTGCCCAAAATGATGTTTTGAAAAAACATGGTACCCATCGACGTCTCTCATTGTACAGACCAATTAACCAATCATTTTCTAGTAATTCATTCTCTTCGAGCATCTTATTCCAACCTTGCTCAAACTCCTCACATCCCTGTACATCGTATATTAACCCGTGCACTATAGAAAGGATAAAAGCTTTGTGTCTATGATTGCCAAATTTCTCTAGTAACTTTTTCAAAATATGCCATAAACACCATCTATGCCTTGTATTCGAAAAGACAATGTCAATTGCATTTTGCATAGCTCGATCTTGATTCGTGATAATTCCACTTGGAGCTTTATCGCTACATTGCTGCCATGTCCTGAAAAGCCATATGAAGGTTGTTGTATCTTCATTCAAAATCAATCCACATCCAAGGAGAGTTGATTGCCCATGATGATTCACTCCAACAGAATGAGCGAATGGCATATCATACTTGTTAGTCAAATATATGATGTCAAATGTCACTACGTCGCCAAACTCCTTACATGCTTCTACACATATATTATCTGCCCAAACGACGTTCTTTAGATGGGCCTCATCATCCAAGTCTATACTAAAGTAGAAACCAAGACTTCTTGTTTGCATCTTCAAGAAATATACTTGATAGCTACAGCATCTCCTTCATCGAGTCGTAAGTGATGAACTTTGTCAATGAAATTTCTGCAGTCTTTCTCAACACAAGTTATATTGCCATAACTGCCAGTCTCAACTACTACTGAGTTAAAACTCTTGTACAACGGTATACCAGCAGTGCCATTTATTTCGAGCTGTCGTTTCATGCGTGCGCTTATTTC